TATATATATATATATATATATATATATATATATATATATATATATATATAATATAGTANATANACATATATATATATATACAATATATAGTGTAACCACTACACTACACTACACACACACACACACACACACACACACATACATCATGTATATACTCGTAGGCAACGTGGTATGTGCGCGAGAAGGCACTTGCAATAGAGTAGAAATTCGAATCTAGGGGTAAATATGTACTACATTCGTGAATTGTCAAAAAAAAAGAGATAAATCCGAAACATTTTTTAGCGCCTTCAATCAGCACCATCTATAGCCTTCATTGACAAGATGGCTATGAGAGGCGGACATGGTCTTAAAAAAATACCTATTTTCGAATGTCATAATTTGAACCAAATTCCCGTGTGCCACAGCCCGCCTTTTTCGTTTTTGAACAAATAATCGCCAGGCGCTTGTATGCTGCATTTCAGAATTTAGACTGCACTCAAGGTACACGAGGCACACCGGTATTGGTTTGTGGCTCTGACTGATACATATCGTATACTCAAGTATGTATCCTTCTGGAGCGATTCGGTCTGGTTTGTGTCGAGTATAAGAGTATAAGAGTGGCACTCATGTTGCGACATAAATACGGTATTTCTTTCGTCGTCTTCAAATTAGAACAAAATATTATTAGCCATTTAAGATCTCAAAGCTTCGATCACAATGATGAAAAATGCCGAGAAACGAGTAGTATCTCGGTCACCAGCCAGAGTTTTCCTGCTTCTGACAATCATTGGTGTACTGGTGGTTTTAAGCAACTGGCGGTATAAGGTCTTCGACGGGCTGACAATGTATAGCTTGAACGTACTGTCAAGCGTACCGGCGAAGACAGGCATAACGCTTATCATTCCAGCCCTTGCGTACGACTTCAACAGATTCGGTAATGATTTCCTACGCAGCATGGAAAGTCTCACAGTGGTTCCCGATGAGATGTTCGTTGTGGTATCGAATACATCATCTACGCTCGTGAATATGACGGTATACAACGATTTGAAGTCACAATTTATTGACTTTCAAAACAAGCATGGCATAGTGGGTCACTTTATCGAATATCCCGATCCTATGAAACAGGCGGTCAAGAAAAACCTCGCCAGTGCATGCGCAACTACCGAATGGCTCTCGGTCTTTGACATTGATGATATTCTTCATCCTCAACGGTTCGAGATGCTCTCCTCATTATTTAAGCAACAGCCACATATAGAAGTAGTTCTGACCACCTTTGAAGGTGCAACGACAAAAGAAATCGGAGAAAAGCTGGAAAAGCTATCTCACTATGATTCCAATGAGATCGCCGACTTGGCCTATGACCCGGACTCCCTTCGCGAACAGTTTGAAGCTAGATTAGATTGGCTCAAACTCCCATACACTTGGTGCTGTGTATTCATAAATGAGTTCATAAGCAATGGGTGGCTTACTATCAAGAGAGATTTGTGGTTAAAATACCAACAACGCGGCGATCTTGATATTGGCGAGGATATTGAAATGATCACCAGATTGATCACTACAGGGGTGAATACAACAGTTCTTGAGATGAATTTGGGTATCTACAGGTACAAGACAAAAGTTGAGGGGAAGAAACTGGTAGAATGAATCATACTGCATACCACCTTACCAAAATAAAAATACAATATTATTGCATGTTGGTGTAAATAAAATATTCGGTTTCTTCGCGCCTTCGTGTACAATTTAGAGGGCTATGGCCTTTGCGCAAAAGATTCTGAGATGCACCTGTTTTCTCTTTTTGACAGTCTGCATTCTGCAGACCCCCACGGCCCCACCCCGGCGGGCCCGGCCACGCGGCGGCTCGGCCACTCCCGGCTGGCCCTGTGCCTCAGCCCTCAGGCCCTCAGTCAGGGACCGAGAAGTTCATAGAACTGAACTGTCAGCTGTCAAGCTCAGCTGAGTGATGACGCCTCTCGCAGTCTCGCATGAGTCTTGACTATTTGTCATTTGGTACCATGTAGGGCTGAAAATATTGACATAACATATTGGCTCTTTGTTTAATCTCTGGTGGGGAGGAGTAGAGTCAGTACTCTGTAGACAACTATTTTACTTTTAGAGAGTCGAGAGACCAAATATATATTTCTTTTCGCTAAAATATATAAGGTGCATATATGATGGCTTTTTTTTTGGGCATTCTCACAATGGTGACGTTTAAAATCGTTGGTTCGTGTGCATTAGTAGTGCTCGCCTTGTTTGGGATCGCAGTGTACGTCTCGGGATGGTACGGTACGTGTACGATCAAACACACATAAACGGTGGGTATGTGTCCCAGCGTAGGCTATGTATTTGGCATTTGTTGTACTTGTTGATTGTCCCAAGAATAATATCCATTAAGTGGATATGCTGCTATCAAGTTAAGTAGTTGTATAACTGTACGTAGTTGGGTAGTAGTAGCTTTATACAGTCGCATGTCCGTGCCCATCTCAGCACATAATTATACTACCACAATTATGATAAGGCACGTGTCTAGCCGTGCATTCAAGATGGCCAGGTCTCTAGATTTCACAATCTATGTGCATAGTTGGGCACAACAACACTATTGTCAATTGAATTAACGATTCGTCTCAGAATATTGCGGCTTATATAAGTATTTGTTTTATATATACAAACCAAATTTACTTCTAGATCACTTAAATCCTTTCGAACGATGAGCGATTGTCGTATTACTTGGCCGAAACATCCTGTTTGTTTCTTCTATTTAGTCAGATGGCTGATGGACAGATTTTGTTACGTGCACAATCGAATACAATTATATATTCGGCGAGCATTAATGCTATAAACCTTAGACAATGATAAGAACGTCAATTGTACAAGTCTGGCTAAAGTATCGAGTGCACAATTTTATTCGCTTGCACACCAAATACATGAGTGGCTGTTATGTGATTTTGTCAAGACATACATATTATAAGACAACTGCATCCGACAACTACGCAGAGTGATTGTAAGACGTGCAAACGCATGTAGAAAGAAAATGTGTATGTAAGTGTAATTCGCACACTTTTCATCATATGGTGGTGGATGTCTGCACATTTGATATTGTTCATTCGTAGGAATTAGCCATCAATATCAGGTTGAGGCGATACTGCGGGTTAGCGACTATGTCCTGCTTGCTCGCACACAATAACTATACACCACACACACGCATATATATATATATATATATATATATATATATATTATTAATATATATATATATATTATTATATATATATATATATTATNTATATAT